TAGATTCTGTGTCTCAGCAAACCCTTGTGAGCATCACGATGCTGGATCACAAAGGAGTACCAGAAGCCATAGAGAAGCTCTGTGGTGTGACACGACATTCTGAAAAGTTGTTGGGACCAGTGTGGGTAACTATTGAGCTCATAGACATGGAGGACAGACACAAAGTATACTTGGCTGACATTGAAGACCAATGCATATTAGGGTTGGACTACTTACTACCGAGGAAGTTTGTAATTAATTTTGATAAAATGACGTTTGGAAACAACAAAGGCCAAACTCTGGTAACTGTTAAAAGAGAGGTTGAGCTAACTAGGTGCCATCAAGCTGATGTCAAGGTGACTGATAGAGTTGATGATGGTGAAGTGGAACCAAATATAGATATTAAAGCAGAACAGAAGAAAGACCAAGATTTGAAGCCAATAATTGATTTTCTAAAAGCAAGTGTTTTTATGCCCTGCTTGGGAGAAGATGTCTAGCTTAAGCCCTGTGACAAAAAATTATTGGGCACAATGGGACCAGTTGAAGCTTGAAGATGGTATTCTTCTCCAGAGATGGGAAACTGCAGATGGGAAATAACGACCTGGCAAACGGTTATACCGAGAAAGTTACCGGAAGTTGTGCTGCGTGAATCCCATGATAGTTTAACAGGAAGGACATCTCGGAGTTAAGAAAACATTGAGTCACCTATGATAGATATTTTACTGGATAGGTATGAGGCAAGATGTTGAAGAATGGTGCAGGACATGCAGTACATTTTGTGCAAAAAAGGGGCCAAAACATAAGGGACATGCTCCAATGAAGTTATATCAAGTTGGTGCACCAATGGAAAGAGTAGCCATTGACATTGCTGGTCTTTTGCCCAAATCTCGTGCTGGAAACAGGTACATTTGTGTGGTGACGGATTATTTCACCAAGTGACCTGAGGCATATGCAATACCAAATCAGCAAGCTACAACTGCAGTTTCGGCTATTAGTGATTTCTTCTTTAAGTTTGGTATGCCATACGAACTGCATTCAGATCAAAGCCGTAACTTCGAATCAACTGTGTTCCAAGAATGCTGGGAAAGACCAGGACAACGCCCCTTCACCCACAGTCTGATGGGATGGTAGAAAAGTACATTTGGACACTGGGACAGGAATTGGCAATGTTTTGTAATAGTGCCAAGATGACTGGGATGTCTTACTCTCTCTGCTGTTGATGGCCTATAGAACAGAAGAGTATGAAGCCACTCGATACACTCCAGCAAAGCTGATGTTTGGTAGGGAACTTTG